GGGGGGGGGGATTGCAGTTGTGACATTTCTCTGTAAAACATCATGGAAAAATTAGAAAGACTTTATAATATTTTGGAATTATTGAGAAATGGTGGGAATTTTTATGTTCATACAGCAGTTCCTACTTTGAATTTAAATGTCTCGAAAACAGGTCAAATTTAACAGTAGAAAATTACCTTATGAACGTGTGTGACGTTTCTAGGAGGTGGTGGTTTCGCATGGACAAAATTGATATGTGAGGCTTGCTTTAAATACCTTTTGATGGTTGACCACAGTTGGGTCATCAGGAAAAGCTCTTACCACATGGGTTTGGTAACCTGCTAAAGATGTAAATTTAAGTGTTAATGATTACATGAGCAATTTCCAGCTTGCCCTGGGCAATGTTTAATTTTAATTAACATGTAAAGAACAGTTCATTACACTTGGCGTAAAAAAATATATCTGTGGTTCCGGTTTCATATCGTGAAAAAATTAGGGTCGCTAGTTCGGAAAAAAATTTTTAAAATATTTCTTTCATGGTTTTGGTGGGTTTTTTTTTGCTGGGCGATATCACAGAGTAGAGACATACAGAGACGTAACTAGTGTACCCACTTTTTTGTGCGCATGATTGTCAAGTTACTAGATGCATGCATCTCATTGGATGACTACCTGATGGCGACTCACTTTAAACTTGCTGAGCACGCGCAGTTAATCATTTTTCGCCCGGTCGCCTCAAAACAAAGTGGGTACATGATAACGTAATCTTCCGCAGTGTTTACAACAGTCAGTTATGTCTCTGTATGTCTTATCTACTCTGTGGCGATATGCAGTAGAGCCCCAACATCAATATTAACAAGAGATGCATACTTCTTATGTCCTATGGACAAATTTAGGAAATTTGGTTCAATGATTATTGTGACTACAGACACCATTTTGGCATGCTGTATGAGCAGCCCGCGACCACCAGGAGAAAATAGGGTCACATAGTCAATCGCATTGAAAAAATAATAGGCCCGGCAGAAAAAAATAGGGTTGGTTGGGAACTAGAACCACAGGTATTTTTTTTACGTCCTACCGTATACATTAACAATAAATAAAGTTAGCTAATTTTGCCAAATCATTTTCGAAATAGGTTCCAAACTATTCTATAAAACTTTGAACGTTTTCAAATCAAACTCGTTCCAATACATCAACAGTTGGGCAGAAAAATGCAGTAATGCACATGTTAATACTTGTATAAAATAATATAAAACAGCTTATTGCCTTATTAACATAAGTTAGGTTCACAATATTAAAACGTTTTTACCTTTTCTTTTGTAACATTAAATTATCTCAGTCTTTCTTCTGTTCTCTTCAAAAGAACGAGTTCAAAATACAACTATTTGAGTTGATTTTTAACAAATCACAATTCACAAATGCTTCGAAAATTTAAATATGCTCCACCTCTGACTCCTACGATACCAACGACTTTGAATCGCTTGCACAAATACCTTCTTCGAATGTTGTTCTTCTTATATATCATTGCCAGAAAGGATTAAAGATAAGTCGCACAAATTTTGTACCGATTTAACAACTTTTACAGCGGCTTTTTGACACAATTACACGCCTTCTCAACTCTCATAATCCCGCCATTTTGAATCATACTCATGGAACTTGCCGAGCATGCGCAGTTGATCATTTTTTGCCCGGTCGCCTGAAAAAACGTGGGTACATGATAACGTAATCTTCCGCAGTGTTTACGACGTTCAGTTACGTCTCTGTATGTCTCTACTCTGTGATCGTACGCTGTACGTGAAACACTGTGTAGCGATGAAATAAAATTTTAAGATTGAAATTTGTTGTTTATGTCTCTTTTTATTTGCTCTACTGATTTATTGGTGTTGAGCACTCTAGTTCACTACGCACAAATTCAATATTGAATATTATATATATATATATATATATATATATATATATATATATATATATATATATATATATATATATATATATATATATATATATATATATATATATATATATATATATATATATATATATATATGAAATCGTTAAGATTGCGAAAATAGGTTGACTAGAATAAATTTTCTATTTTTTAATTTGAACGAACAGTTAGCGCAAACGTTAAGGTCATGGCCTGCCGTTCTGACTTTCACGGTTCGAATCCCATTCGTGTCGTTTCGTTGATTTTGTTTTTCATTTTTTTTTCTTTATTGAGAATGCGTTTATAATGTTTCTTTTGCACTCCTATATGTCTTTTAAATGTTTTTGGACAAGATTTCCCCAATACAAAATTGTGCGACGGCTACTTTGCTCTATTAACATTCGTTACCAGTTCCCCAAGTTTTCAATGCAGTTTGACGTAATTTGTGGGGTTTTGCTTGGAAACTCTTTGATCTTTTGTTAATCGAGGCATATTCGAAAGGCGAACGAAGACCAACTTCATAATAAAAAGTCCCAAAGGTCGTCAAATATGATTTCGAACGTTTTTAAATGTTTCATGCTTATTTTGCGGCCTAAGAAAGGCATACTAGGACATTACCCGAAATTAAAGTTGAGTTGAAATGCTAAAATTGAAATTTTTAATTTTTGTGGAAAATGGCAATTGTTTTCATATAAATTTGATCATGAGGCATGTTTTTTTTTACGTATTTTTAAAGCGTGCGCCAAATTCAAACATTCATATATATATATAGTTTTTCGTTTTACCTCAAAAAGACCACAACAGTCTGTTTCATCCGTATAGGAATCATCAGGTGGTGAATAATTTCGAAATTGTAGGTTGCTTTTATGCTATCGAAAGAATGTGCGGAATGCGTGTAGGCGAAACAATGCCTAGGTGAAACAATGCATGCTTGGGTCATTAGGTTTTGTTAACGACCTTGTTTACTCGAAACCGGTTTTTGTGACGACATTTGCCGAAAATTTCGCTTCTTTTATTGAGTAAATTGTCTTTGTTTATGTCTTTCAAAATGCAAAATTTTTCTTTGAAAGACATAAACAAAGACAATTTACTCAATAAAAGAAGCGAAATTTTCGGCAAATGTCGTCACAAAAACCGGTTTCGAGTAAACAAGGTCGTTAAAAACTGCCGTGAAATTAATAAAGCTGAGAAAAGTATTGCCGTATATTATTTACCATCCACGAGCGATCTGATACCCGAAGTCGATAATCCTATCGAATCCCATGCAATCCCCCGTACGCCCATGACGCACTTGGGTCATATATTTTAGATTTTACAATTTTGAGAAGACAACCTTAATTGATTTACCTGTATATATATATATATATATATATATATATATATATATATATATATATATATATATATATATATATATATATATATATATATATATATATATATATATACATATACTACACATTATGCCTAAGCCTTTATGCGCACGCTCACTGCATTTCACAGTTTAAAAACGGCGACAAAGCACATAAGTAAAGACATTGTAGCGCCCTTCAAGGAAAGCTCAAACAACGGCAACTGTGGACAGCTGTTTCGCTCTTTTTGGAGCTCATCAGCACAGTGCACCGATGATGAGCTTTCACATACCAAGAATATATATACTATAGAAGACAGTGTGGTGGATGTGGGACACTACAGAACTTTATATACTACACATTATGCCTAAGCTTTTATGCGCACGCTCACTGCATTTCACAGTTTAAAAACGGCGATAAAGCACATAAGTAAAGACATTGTAGCGCCCTTCAAGGAAAGCTCAAACAACGGCAACTGTGGACAGCTGTTTCGCCCTTATTGGGGCTCATCAGCACAGTGCACCGATGATGAGCTTCCACATACCAAGAATATATATACTATAGAAGACAGTGTGGTGGATGTGGAACACTACAGAACTTTATATACTACACATTATGCCTAAGCCTTTATGCGCACGCTCACTGCATTTCACAGTTTAAAAACGGCGATAAAGCACATAAGTAAAGACATTGTAGCGCCCTTCAAGGAAAGCTCAAACAACGGCAACTGTGGACAGCTGTTTCTATTCGACAGTTGTTGTTATATATATATATATATATATATATATATATATATATATATATATATATATATATATATATATATATATATATATATATATATATATATATATATATATTGTGTATATACTATTATGTATACTGTATGTGCAGAATATAAAAAAATACAGACTTCGTTCTTGTTGCTCATTCATTCATTCATTCATTCATTCATTCATTCATTCATTCATTCATTCATACACTTTATTTCAACACGGAAGAATCATCAGTACAAGAATAAAATACACAAATTTAAATATATACAATGTTAG